TGGTATGCACTCTTAACTGTAAAGGAATCTTTTTGTCATAATTCCAGGTCAACCAAACATCCGGACAACAGATGTTAAGTGGAAGAGATAAAATTACATTAGATTCAATATTACTGAAGAGACTCTTAACAAGTGATACCTTTCAACACCCATTATGATCGATAAGATCCTTGACAAAAGACACCCCGCATGAAGGAGGTTTAGGGGAAAAATATTTGAGTCTCGAAGGTAGCGAAAGCCATTGATCATTCCAAATATGGACCGAATCTCCCATGCTGATCTGCTATCTCGAGCCTGAATTGATGACCTTTTTCGCAGTGCAAATACTTTTCCAGCCTTAAGAAGTGTCTGGCTTGATCACCGCCTCTAGGAAAGAGCAGTGAAGATAATATTTGGCCTTCAGTATCCACGTAACCAAAGAGGAAGGCGCAGAAAGAAGCGTCCAACCTTGCTTGGCTAGGAAACCAAGGTTAAAAGCGTATAGATTCTTAAATCCCAAACCACCATCACACCTTGGAAGACATAGTTTATCCCAAGCCAACCAATGGATTTTACGTGCATCATCGGCACCACCCCACCAAAATTTAGCCACCAGCCGATTTAAATCCTCACAAAAGGATTTGAGGAGAAGGTAGCAGCTCATTGAGCAGAGAGGGATGGATTGGGCCACTACCTTGACAAGGATTTCTCTAGCAGCAACACTGATAAGATTATCTGTAACGACCCAAAAATTCTTATTTGGAAGCTAATATTCGGTTATAGACCAAAAATAAAATCATGCTTAATCTCTATGGCTGCATCTAACCTCTTCGTTAGACTGCCTATGCACCCTACAAAGGGATCAAGTCATTTGTAGTTCGCAAATTCAATTTCAACTCATTTCCAAAATCATTCAAGTGATTAACAATCACTAACTAAGTTCAAACAAGCAATTCACACCAATTGCATATGAAATATAGATTCAGAATATCGAAATTAGCTTAGAAAGGCAACGTCGGCTCATTGTCCATGTACCGCCGCACATGGCGGTTTCCGGCTCCAAATTCTGACAAACTCTAAAAATTACCAAATTTTATAGGGTTGTAGAGTTCAAGAACAGGAACAACTTTCATACCTGGGCCGAAGTCCAATTCAGCCGGGAAGTGGTTAAAAAATCCCTCGAACCGCCAGAACCCTCAATTTAGGTTGTTGTTGATTCACCACCAAAACGAACTTTGACACCTCATCCAATGCTTGGACCTTGTCCCTGGGGTTGAGGGGAGTCTTTTGGTGGTGGCCATCGACGATGAAGCTCGCCGGAGCCACTGGAAAAAGATTAAAGCAGCAGGAAAGGTCTTGGCTTTGTGGCTTCGAACTGGAAAAATGGGAAAGAAATCGAAAAATATAACACTACAAAGATGTAGGGCTCGTCAAGGGCTTTCCATGGACACCAAGATCACCCAAAACGGAGTTCATACGAATGAGATATGAGCGGGTCAAGTTGGCGAGTCGGGTGGAGAAACCGAGTTTGGCTTGTTCTCTCCATCTCCCTTCCCTGCTTTCCCCTCCTAAGTTTCTCATTGGTTCCCCCCTCCCTTGTCTCATTGGACCCAAATTTACTCACTCCTCATAGGTCAAATTCCCACATGGTGGGGGTTTAACTAATTTAAAAACTATCGTTTAGTAAAACAATTTCAAATATCTGTAACTATACCATTATAATCCGGACTCGCAAATGGCTTTCCCCTATGTGCTCGTAGGATCGAACTCTATCCAAATATGTCAAGAAACATGATAAAATATATGAGGATAAAATACGTCATAAAAAAAATTACGTTTAGTCCACAAGGGACAATTTCGTCATTTCACTTCCCAAAAAAAATTCCACATAATCATATATTTAAATTTTTTTTAGCGTATTACATTCGACCCCCATTAAAATAAATCTCGTCCTCGAGATTTCTACCCTTGAATAACGAAGAAGGAAATAACGCTATTTCCAACATTCCATTTATAGTGAATAAAATCATAACCTCAGTCTACGATTTTATTCAAGCCCTCAGAAATAAATACTTCCACGAAGTAATCATTTACATTTAGGTTTCCTACCACTCTCATTGGTAGAATAAATATAAAAAAATTCTAGCCATACACATTGGCAAAAATAATACCAAACATCAAGCCATAATCCTCAAGGCCTAAATAAATACTAGATTATCAACCACACCTACCGTTGGTTAGATAAATACTAGCATCATAATCACAATCAGTGGTAAACTACTTACCATCATTGCCATATTCATCATCAGCAAAACAATTATCACAAATTCCCAGCCGTAACCATCGTCAGCCAAATAAATATCAAAATTTCAAGCCATAATCATCAGTGGCTAAATAAATATCACAATTTCAAACCAAACCATTAGAATTGGCAAATCGAATATTAGAAATTCCAACCAAAATCATTGGAATTTCCAATCACAATTATTGGTAAAACCACTTACCAATCATTGGCTATACGCAGTCGTTATCACGATTCTTCCTCAAAATTTCTAGCCACAATCACTGGCGATATTGATAGGAGCATATTTATGCGACTTAATTGGCTTGTTCTTGTGCGTTTACGTTGTGTTTCTTTAGTTATTTTAGTGTTTAAAGCCATTTTCATTTGTTTGTAGGTCTTAATAACAACCTTGGCAAGAAAAGTGCATTTTGGTGCATGTTGGATCAATATTGGGCTCAAATGGATTGCATGCATGAGGATGGACGTTTTGGGCATATGTGTGTGCAAGTGTGTGTGTGTAATTGCAAGGATAAACAATGACAACTCATACACATGCAAAGAAGCCCACATGCAAAGTGAAAGACTCTAAGTACAAAGTATGCAAGAAGATGCATTTTGGAGGCCTTTGGAGCATGTTTCGGGCTTGGAATGGATAGCAAATGCATGGGCCAAAGTGGATGGACGAATTTGAGAACTAAAGAGGCCAAGAATGTGAAGAATTAGTGTCCAAAAGATAAAGAATTCAGCCCAAAAATTTGTCACTCCAAGTTGCACACTCCTTGCCATGCAAAACACATAGAATTCCCTTTGGATTCCCATGCCATGCTTGATCACTCTTGTCCCCTACATAATTTCTGATTTCATGATTTAATTCATTTAATTATTTCACTCAATTGCTTGATACCTCTTGTTCCCTTCACCCATTAGATTTTAGACAACCTTTACATCCATTACATGCACCAATTGATGCTCCATCATTCACATTTGGAATCCAATGGCATGTGTCACACATGTTGTTGCACCTTTGACCCATTTGTTGACACATTTCACCTCCCTTTCCATCTCTATGCAATGTACACAATCATTCATGCTCCCTAGCTGCAACACCACTCCATTTTACCCTTCACACTTTGCATCATCACTTCATTTTCACCCTTGGACCATTGCACACCACACACACCAACTTGCCATGCATTTCATCCCCAGCCTAACCTGATTTTCTAAGGTTTTTGGAGCCTATAAATACATGTTTACACCCCTTGGCCAAAGGAGAATCCCCCATATTCATCATTTTATCACAGAAATTCGTCCATACACACCCTAGGAAGCAAAACACCCCAAAAACACCATTCTAGTGCCTAGAAAACATAACAGCCACTCCACTTTCTTCCACCCTCTTTGCCTAGTTCTCCACCACCTTCCAACCATCAAAAACTCTTCCACACTCACCCTAAACCCCTCCATATCATTCCCCATCCATTCTACACCATAAATCCACCCAAAAATCTGTCCACAAGCTTCATGCCGCAACAAGGAGGAAGGGAGATCCATTGATGCACTTGCTTTCCAAGTTGGAGCATTTTAGGTGTTTTCTTTCCTTTGATTTTAATGTCTAATTTTATGTATCTTTGTATTGCAAGAATGAGGAACTAAACCCCCTTAGTTGGGGGGTGATTCGAAACCATGTACATGCTTGCAATATGATTTGATTACATTCAGTTGTTATTTCATAAGTTGCGGATTCAATTCGTTCATCTACTTGATTGATAACTTATTTGTGTATGTTGATTGAGAGTGCACGCTTAGTTTTCATGCATGAATATGATGCTAGATTATGAGGGAGTTTCACCTAATAGTTACAATCTTATAATCACAAGTAGTGAAGGTCGCTTGAAAACGATCGCGTTGAATGAATTCTTGGCACTAGTTTCATGCTCATCATAGTAACGAATGCCTCGTCAACACTTATAGTTCTCATTGTGCTTCATGATTCTTGATTGTATCTTTATTGTGCTCATCACGTAAGGAACCTTTGAGGAATGCTTTGAATTGTTGTATGCGCTTTTCCATCCAATTCATTAACTTAAGGAGAACTTGAAGGTTAATTTAAGCGTATCTAATTAACTTGGGGTGTTGAGTTTCATAATTTATTGAAAGAACAACTGAAAATCATTTTGTTTTGCAAGTGTGTCATGTGTGGAGAAGAACCTCCTAACTAGCCTTTTATCCATCCTTTTCATCCAAAAACGTTTTACAATCTGTTTTGTTTTAAAGTTTCTGTTTTGTTTTCAATTTTCGTCCAAAACAAATCCCCCTTTATTTTGAAGTCTTAGATTAGTTAGAAAGTGTTTTGATTTGTGTTTCTAAGTGTTTTGATTCAAGTTTTCATCCAACTTCGTCCAAGTTCTTGTTAGGTTCTCAAAACTGCCCAGAAAGTGGTTTTTAGGCAGTTTTGAGTCATTAGGTTGCTGTTTTGAGTTTTATGTTTGTTTAAGTATTTAAAGTATAGTTTTGCATTCTTTGAGTCTAGTTTAGTGTTTTAAATTTTGTTTTTATGTTTTTAAGTCAGTTTTCAAGTGTTTAGCAATCCCTCCTAATCCCCGGCCTAGAACGATCCCTACTTACATACTTTACTACATTTGATAAAAAGAGGGTTTAATTTTGTGTGTTAACTTATTTTTCACATCAGATATCAAATATCAAAAAAATTTGTCATATTCATCCTTGGCAAAACAAATATCATAAATTCCAGCCAAACCATCATCGGTTAAATAAATATCAAAGTTTCAAACCACAATCATAAGTGGCTACGCAAATAATCACAATTTCAAGCCAAACCATTTAAATTGGCAATTCAAATATAAGAAATTCCAACCAAATCATTGGAATTTCACATCACAATCATTGGTAAAATCACTTACCACTATTGGTTATACACAACCGTCAACACGATTCACTCCCAGAATTCGTGTGCCAACATAATCCAACTTGATGACCGGTCATGCGGCCGATTCCTTTCAATTTGACCACAAGAGCACAAAGTAGGGTAATGATAGTGTCCATTTAATCCTACACCCCAGAACCAAGTACCCTCCCCACGGGATATGGTACATGTCTAGCCATGTAGGGTTCCAGAGTTTTAAGGGATCGAAACCCAAGGCAGAGCGCGGTGCCCTTCACTCCTAGTAACTCTCAATCTAGGAGTGTCCATTTCCAACGGCCATACCACATATACTATCCCGTAGAAGTAGGCTAACTGTATAACACCCTCTGAAGGTTTAGGGGATCGAAACCTAGGGGAACCTCACAGTCGCTTTCACTCTTAGGTCATCAAAATCATCCAAGAACCTGCATTTACAATCCACAGGAACCTGTACTCACAACAACACACGTGAGTAATCCACAATACATATATGTATGTCACATATTCATAGAAATTATGAAATAGTGCAACCACAATGCAAATCATAATTTCTACTCACAAACTCCATAGTTGCCATGGAAATTGCACATACCACATACACAAGTGGTCCTCTATATATATGTCACCTGGATGCCACTTATTCAAAATATTTTGAAATAATGCATTCACAATTCATATGCATTTCACATAAATGCCTCATGATTCATAAAACTTGTGAAATATGACAATATCACCACAATCATATTTCACATCATTAAAACACGAAAATATATCTATATTCACTCTCCTGCCAGTGAGAGATTCATAAAACATGTGTAGTTCATATCAATGTCACATTAATTATAGAAATAATGAATAATGCAATATCAATGCTAATCATAATTTACACCAACATGAATTCAAGGATATTGCATATTGTAGAGTAGGATTATTCGCTCTAATACCACTTTGTAATGACCCAAAATTTCTTATTTGGAAGCTAATATTCGGTATTAGGACAAAATTAAAATGATGCTTAATCTCTACGATGTTAACAATTATAAATCTCTTTCCTTAAAGAAATCAAGTACAATATTAAATTTGGGTTGTTCTATGGTTGCATCTAACCTCCTCGTTAAACTGCCTATGTACCCTACAAAGGGATCAAGCCATTCGTAGTTCGCAAATTCAATTTCAACTCATTTCCAAAATCATTCAAGTGGCTAACAATCACTAAGTTCAAACAAGCAATTCACACTAATTACATATCAAATATAGATTCAGAATATCGAAATTAGCTTAGAAAGGCAGCGTCAGCTCACTGTCCACGCGCCACACGTGGCAATTTTCGTCTCCAAATTCTGACGAACTCTAAAAATTACCACATTTTACAGGGTTGTAGAGTTCAAGAAGATGAACAACTTTCATATCTGAGTTGAAGTCCAATTCGGCCAGGAAGTGGCCGAAAAATCCCTCGAACAGCTGGAACCCTCAATTTGGGTAGTTGTCGATACGCCACCAAAACAAACTCCGACGCCTCATCCAATGCTTGGACCTTGTCCTTGGGGTTGAAGGGAGTCTTTTGGTGGTGGTCATTGACGGTGAAGCTCACTGGAGCCACCGAAAAAAGATTAAAACTGCTGGAAAGGTCGTGGCTTTGTGGCTTCGAATTGGAAAAACGGGAAAGAAATTGGAAAATATAATACTATAGAGATGTAGGGCTTGTCAAGGGCTTTCCATGGACAACAAGATCACCCAAAACAGAGTTCGTACAAAGGAGCTATGAGCGGGTCAAGTTGGCGGGTCAGGTGGAAAAGCCGAGTTTGGCTGGTTCTCTTCATCTCCCTTCCCTCCTTTCCTCTCCTTTAACTTGTTTCTCATTGGTTCCCCTCTCCCTTTCCTGATTGGGCCCAAATTTACTCACTCCTCATAGGTCAAATTCCCACATGGTGGGGTTTTAACAAATTTAAAAACTGTCGTTTAGTAAAGCAACTTCAATGTTTGTAACTATACTGTTATAATCTGGACTCGCAAACAGCTTTTGCCTATGCACTCATAAGATCGAACTCTATCCAAATATGTCAAGAAACATGACAAAATTTATGAGGATAAAATACGTCCTAAAAAAATTACGTTTAGTCCTCAAGGGACAATTTCATAATTTCACTTCCCAAAAAAAATTCCACATAATGATATATTTTAAATTTTTTTAGGGTATTACTGAAGGATAATTTTGTGAAAACATGTTCATTTGAATAACATCTATAGCATGCATTTAACAATTAAAAGGCGGAATCATGCTTGCATGCATTCAAAAACAAAACATTAACCATGAAATTCAAAGCCTAGTAGATTGGTAAACCAAGACTCAACTCAAATCAAAGTGAGTTGAGAAATTATACCTTTGTAGATTCCTCTTTGCATAAGCAGAGGCTAATCACCCAAAGAGAGGGCCTTCATTCCTTGCATCTAAAATCTATGGATTTGGATGGATGAAAAGGTTTCTCCAAGTTCCCAAAATTGAGAACCTCTAAGACTCCACACCAAGGAGAGATTGGAGAAGAAATGAGTGACCTTGGAGTAGTGGGATTGCTAGATGCACCCTCCAAGAGGGCCGGCCTCCTAGAGAGAAAATGAGAGACATGTTCTCTCCAATTTTCTCCAAAAGAACCCTTAATGAATTTTAGGCTATAAAGTCTTTTATATAGTCACTTCTTTAAGTGACCTAAAGAACCAAAACCCTATTTTCATAACAAGGCCGGCCTTAGGGTGTTATTGGGCTATTTGGGCCTTTGTGAATTATTATTCATTAAGTTGTCATACAACTTAAGTTAATGGACTTGACGTTCGAAGCCCATTGGGCCTTTAGGTCCAAAACTATCCCGAGGTCTTTAACGAACTTATTCATTTGATTAATTAACATATTAATTAATCCTTGCCATAAATAATTAAACCATTTAATTATTCTTACTCATCTCCATTGTTTCTTCAATCTCCACCTTACACGGTGTACGATCCATTAGGTTCCTTTTAGCGAGGCAGTGGGCGATTAGAACTCTTTCAAATCGATTGTGAATTGAAACTTACTTTCAATTCTCCCTTTAGTGATTATATACTGTAGGGCTTCCACAAACCATGAGTGACACCTAGCAGCATATCATGGTTACCCAAGCTAATAAGAAGAGGTGGAGAACCTATTCAGTTTAAGATTACAAATGCAATACGGTCTTTCTCTAATACAATACTCTTGACCACATTGTTTGGTTTGATAGTTTATTTATTCATGTATACTATCCAATGTGATTCGTGTGCTTATATGATTACCTTGAATGTGATTTGGAACGACTTCCTAAATCTCATTCATACTCTGGCCAGAGATTCCAAATCATATCATAGAGTATTCTCCCTCAAACGGTTTGAAGGTTAGAGATCCCTTGTTGCACATTCACTTGCCTCCATAGCTAAGTGGCTTAATCCCAACGATGCCGTGGACACCCGCGGATGGGGTGACTTTGACATAATCAAAGATCAAGGACTTAACCACAAGACAGCTGTGATGCCTCAGGTCAAAGGACTATTTTGCATTATCCCAACCATGAATTCTCATGTGACATGAATATGAGAACTCTTCGTTGATCGTGTTCAGTGAACTCATTCTCTATTGAGCACCTACGTACTTGCCTTGATGTCACACACACCAATGACTCGAGACTAGTCACTCTCCCTGAGAGAAGACACAACACGTACTGATCTTAACGGACTGTCAATGCCCAATTGGCAATCCTATGATCAGGAACGTTTAGGATGTGTCTACGAAAGAATGGTCTCATGAATCTAACTTCTTTAGATTGCATTCTCCCAATCACATATTCCTTGGACTTATCGTTTAAGCATATAACATTTATATGAGACGGCTCAAACAATAATGTTTGCCCTTGATATTAAACTAGATTAGTTTAACATGTGAAATGTCCGTAAAGTATCATCATATGATTGGTTTTAGGGCACATTTCCAACAATTACATTATCTTTCCAACCATGTAACTATTTCCAAAGACGTTCCTTGATGTTGTTGAAGCAAGCACTCTTGTTGCGACCCACAACCATAGGAAACCCCAAGTATCTGTCATAAGCCCTAAGAGCAGGGCCAAGTCTAGCTGAGAGTTCCAGTTAAGGTTTTTGTTGAAACAGACATAACTCTTCGAAAGGTTGACCATTTGCGCCGATGCTCGTTCATAGGCCCTAAGAGTAGACTGGATTTCCTCACAAGCTACCTTAGACACAACATAGTACAGCATACTATCATCGAAAAAAAAAAACAAATGTGAATGATGGGGGCATCACAACAAACTTTAATTCCAAAATTCTAATTTTCCCATTCCTCTTTTGCAATGAGAGTGGATAAACCATCCGTGCATAAGAGATATGGTGACAACAGGTCCCTCTGCCTAAGACCCTTGGATGGATAGAGGTGCCCTTTAGGCTCCCCGTTGATAAGGAAAGCAAATGAAACTGAACTCACACAAGCCAAAATGAGAGTCATCCACTTTGTCGGAAAACCAAGCTTTAGGAGAACCTTTTCTAAATAAGACCACTCAATCGTATCGTAGGCCTTGCTCATATCGAGCTTAAAGGCCATAAAGCCCTTCTTACCTTGGATTCAACGCATCAGATAGTGGGCAACCTCAACGGCAAGGGTGGAATTATTAGAAATCTGTCTACCAGGTACCAAAGTACTTTAGTTCAGGGAGATTAACTCTGGCATGAGGGCCTTTATACGATTTGTCAAGACCTTGGAAGCAATTTTGTAGACCACATTACATAGAATTATAGGGTGGAAATGGTGCATTTCAGTGGGGTTACTTTGCTTTGGGATAAGAGCAACATGAGTGAAGTTAATTTTCTTCAACATTTTCCCAGAAGAGAGGAAAGATTTGATAGCCAAAGAAATGTCTTTCCTAACGATGTCCCAATATTTCTGAAATAATAGTGGCAAAATCCATCCGAACCTAGGGATTTTGAAGGATACATATCAAAGAGAGTAGCCTTGATCTCCGTCTCAAAAAAATCCTCATTTAGAGAGGTAGCCATCTCATCGGTAACTAGCCGATCCAGGGCCCCGATAATTTTCTCGTCATCCACCATTTGGGAGGTTTGGAACAGGTTGTCAAAATAGGATAAAACAATGCATTCCATACCATCATCTGACACAACCAACTCCCTATTATCATCACTGAGGCCATAAATTGCATTTTTTTGTTTTTCAAGTGGTAGCTCTCTAGTGGAAAAACTTGGTGTTCTTGTCCCCCTTTTTTAACCATTGAACTTAAGACCTTTACCACCAAAAGGTTTCCTCTTGAGCCAAAAGGGAATCAAGTTTCTACAAAAGGTCATTCTTTTCGACCAACATGGTTCAGTTAAGGGGTTACTAGAAAAAAGTTAAGCCAAGAACGAACTTGCTCAATTTTCAATTTCCTAGCCTTGAAATTTTGGTGCTGCTAAGTTAGAAAAGCAACCTTCATCGCTTTCAATTTTCCACCACCTTGAATATAGGGAACCCTGCAATCGAGGCAGACCAAGCATCAGCGATTACTTCCTTACAAGAATCATGATGCGTCCACCATTCCTCAAAATGAAATAAGCACTTCCATGACCTTTCCTAGAATCTCTACCATTGTAATTAAGTAAAATTGGAATGTGATCATATTTGCATGGGTTAAGGTGGATAATAGAGTAATTGGGAAAAAGATTCATCCAAGATAGAGTAGCGAGGACACGGTCGAGTTGTCCATTACTACAGCAGGAGGTTATCCAAGTAAAATTCTCGCCTCTGAACCTCAAATCCATGAGATTACAGTCTCCCACTGCTTCATGGAATGAGAGAATTTGGTGGATGTGGCATAAATTTCCTCCCTCATTCTGCGCAGAAAGGAGAATTCCGTTAAAATCGCCTCAACAAACCCAGGGAATGGAGGAGCATGAAGCCAATCTCCTCAATAGGTCCCATGTTTCATGCCTACACTCAATCACCGGGTACCCATAGAAACTTGTAAGCCTCTAGTGCTTCGCATCACTAATTTCGCCTACCTCTGCATTAATATGGTGGGAAGAAGATGATAAAATTCCTAAAGTAGTGTCATCATTCCATAGCAAAGCAAGATTTTCGAATCTACCACAAGAGTCTACTCCAAAAGTATAATTGAACCCGAACTGCACTCTGATATTTCTTAGCCTGTTTGTATTGTATTTAGTTTTAGAGAGAAACACAATACGGGGAGCATGTTGCTGGATTAACCCACGCAACGCTTGAACTATCCGGCAGTTCCCAAGGCCCAGGCAGTTCTAGAATAGAATACTCATAATTGACGACAATATGAAGTCTCCTCAACCGCCGCCGATTCCAGATTCTTTTGGTTCTTATTCCTTCCCAGCAGACCATTGGATTCAGCCTCTTCCAACTCTTTGGACGCAGAAATAAAGACTTTACATAACCTCTGGTCTTTCCCCATGCAAAACGAACTTCTCCTAGTAAAGTTAATATCTCCAGTTGCATGCCGACCACGTCCCTCACCATTCCTTTTTTATTTTCTTTTAGGGTCACCGCCCTAAGCAAAATGGGGAGGTTTCCATGGGCCAATAGGTGCCTTGGTTCTTGGAAGTTTAGGAGGGGTTAAGTGTAGCACTCTCATCCATGTGCTTTTTCTTGGCTTTTTCACGTAATAGATCGGTAGGTGGGTCCCCTACTGGTAGTGAGTTGCTCGGATCCAACAGCTAATCATAGGGTGGGCCAACCAACTCATAGCCGGGCTCAGGCTCAAAGAATTGCTGAGTGTGGGTAAGCCCATTGGCATTGAGGAAAACCCATGGTGGGATCCGCTTTGCGTGACACCAAACTTTATCGAGGGATAAATAATTGATAGCCAACGTTAATAAGCCATTTGTAAAGTGAGTCCTAAAACTATCAGGGTGCCACATATGATCAAGATCCTCTAGAGATGATCTCCTTCTAACATCCTTAGATTGACTATTACCAGGTAACTTACACTGCAAACCAAGTTGCATCGTCCCAAATGTCAGCTACAACCTATCCCTGTCGCCATGAGCTGGATTGTCATTACTGGTTGACCGCATGGAGACCTCAATGTCCCTTTGTGTGGCCACAACGTTCACTTGAAATTGCCAAGCCGGCGCCCCCCATTCTTCATCTGGGATACCATAAAAACAACCATCCACATGCCACTTTCTGCACTAATGCCGCTCATTAGCACCGCTACTTGGCTTAGGTCTAGCGTGGGGGGGACTGCAGCGTAGAGATGGAGCCAATAGGAGACGCTCTTATTCCCTCACCATATTCAATGAGTTGAAACTTCTAGATACATCATTTAGAATGCCCAAGCTGACCACACTTGTAGCCAAAATTGTTGAGACCCTAGTTAATTTAATATAAATTTAATTGGGACTTAACGGATGTGATATTTTCAATAAATTAAATACTTCTTTGGAATGTTTAAAAATGTTGAGATCAATTTAAAATGACACTAAAAGGTTGGGGCGTTTTAACTACTTTCTAAATACTAGTAAATAATATAGTATTGTGTATATTATTTATATTTTTCTCGACTATGAACCTATGGCCTCTATAGCATGTGTATTAATATTAATATAGAAGTGTTAATTCCTAATATTAGAATACTACTAGCAAAAGTGCCCACGCGTAGCTGTGGGTGTTTAAAATATTGATTGAAGTTAGATTTATATACCTAAGATATAGATTGGCAGTGTGCAATTCCTCACTGCTATAAAGATAGAGATGCTATGAAAGCTATATTCATGTACAGAAGTTCATAGTATCAAAATCGTTCAAATACAAAAAATAAACATGTCCATATCAGAAGCTTGGCACCGCACATCTACTTAGTGTTTATGATTTTTCCTAGTCAATCTTTTGGTCTTGCTTGTTAAGGAATGACCATCTTTTTCTTGGTCATCATGTTATTTTTTGCTTTGTCCATAATTTTTCTGTTGCTATATATTAAGAATTGGAATCAATAAGAATTCAATATAAAAAACTAAATTTAACTATATGGAGAATTACTTGATACGTACAAAAGGTTTGAAAATTAAACTAACATTAAAAAAAATATATATATGAGATGGAGTGGAAATCACATACCAGCATCAAGCTTAAAATTGTAGTGCTATCTGCAATTAGTCTTATCATGAGCTTCTGCACTGGTTGATGTCTCGGTCTTTTCCATAGCTGTATGTACCTTGTAGATTTGGGTAGATGAGAAGCAGAAGAAAATAAAAATATAAGTAAAAGTTGCAACTTAACTATCTATGTTGATTCATGTCCAACACATAATAAGAATAATAAGAATAGCAAATCATTTTTCATCTCGTGCACTGGTTTGTCATCGTAAAGATTTAAGTGGTTCACCCCTCAAAACTAGGCTACATCCACTGTTTCTTAGATTATATTGAATGTAAGATTGAATAAATAGCAATCGACTAATACATGAATTCTCTCTCCCTTTAGTTTTCGACCCCCAAACATGATACCCTCATACCTTTATATAGGCCCTCAATGAACCTTTCCCCCCCCCCCCCACCTTGGGTTCTTCCCGCTTTGCCTTTAATGAGCCACCTATGTAGACAAAAGTTCTGACATATTTTTTCTTTTTCTTCCTACATTCGCTAGTGAAGTGATAGGTGTTCAACTAATATGGCAGGCCTTTTTTAAAGTAGTGAGAGCCGAATGGGATACTCGGCCTTGGTTACTCAACTCTTTCTTTTCGAGTGATCTTTCGATCACCTTTATGTCACATCCAAGCTCTTGTCACTGACTGTAAATCACCAGTGGTCTAATTGACACCTGACTAGACCAGTCTTCAAAGATTTAAGTTATCAACCTGCCCATGTGCCATCGACGTTCGACAATATCTTCACTTACTCTGGTCGGGTAGAGCTCTGTGGTGCTCATCATTTCCTTGTTCTAAGCCTTATTTGTCCCTGGGCTCTTTGGTATCTCTTGGGCTTTTTGTGATCCCACTTCTAGTTTGTGCCACTATATAGCCTAAAAGTGCCTAGCATTAACAAGTCCCCAATTCTTTGGTCAAGGGTTCCACCTTGGGTGTCAAGTTTTTTTAGGTCGGTCAGTATTGTAAATGGTGCTTGGTTGGGCGATCATTTCAGATGTGATTAAATCATCATTCTTCCAATTCTCTTTCTCATTTTTCTTGCATAACCGTTCCTCAAAAGCTCTTTCTGCCTGCTATCGTCTTTTCAGGTTTTACACTCTTTACGTTTCGTGAACTACTTGATTTTGCTGTATTTGGCTAATTTTCACCATAGGATTCATCGCCAACACTCGATACCCCTAGTTAATTTTCGCCATGGGATTCATCACCAACACTCGACATATCACATATCTCGCTATCATATATTTTCACATTTTCTTCCTCTTTTTTGCAGTATAAAAGACTTTTCTTAGTGTGTTAGAATCCATCTCAGGTCAATATAAACTATTCTTTTGATATCTTCTAATAGAAACTCGCCCTCCTGCTCAGGTGTTATCGTTAGTAGATAGGCTAGGGAGAAATCTTGCAGAGTTTAGTGGACAAGTGTTGCATGGTGCTTGCAGCAAGTTCTTCATTTTGTACCAATGCGCCCCTTTCCCTAATAATACTTATAGGGCGACCTTCCCCCTCAGATAAGTGGTCAGGTCGTTCAACAACTATTGGGGTTTAGCGTAAGTGATCCTCCGGGTGTCTGCACAAACCAATCGGTGGTCATTTTGGTATTCAACTTTATTGCCGAAGCATAACATACCATTGCCGACATTGATCTATTCTAACCATTCTTATCCTCACAGAGGTAAGAAATTTAATCACCAGCATCTTCTGGTTAATGTCCATGTCCATCTCTGTTAAAAACGGTTTTCCTAATATCACATTATTATAGGAAAAGCAATATATGATCGTAAACCCGGTCGTCAGGCTCGTCCTCCTAAGATGTAACCCAATTGACAATGTGAGATTCATTTCCTCAATTGGGTGTATGATATTGTCCTAGAACGGTATAAGGGGCTCTAAGTTCCTATTTAGCAAATCTTTGTTGACATCTAGTTGGTCAAAATCTAAGAGGAAAATCACATTTAATGAGCTGCCATTGTTGATGAAAACCAGGGTGACCTCGTAGTTAACTATCTCAACCGAGATGATGAATGGATCGTCTTGAGGTTGTAGAATTCCAATGCAATCCTTTTCTTTGCACACTGTAAGCTCAGCTGATTGTTTTCCCATTTTTGCAAGTCGGGCGACTATTCCAGCTGAGGAAGAATGCGATACTGCCTGACTCGACACTCAAGAATATGCCTTCATTACCCTGTTGGTTGGAGTCTCCAGACAAAGTGGATCGCCAAACAAAGTGTAAACTACCTTCATGCTAGTTAGATCACAATTTGTAAGGGTGCCAAGCACCTAAAAAGAGCTTGGCTAGGTCGTGAACCTGTCGGCTGCATACTCTGTGAGCCACACCTACCAGACGAGGGCCTTTATGTCATCTTTAAGGTCTATATAGTAGTCAATGAGATAGTTGTGGTCGTGGTAGCATTGTCAATACTTAATATAATAAATTGGCCTACGAAATACCCTGGAGAGCTAACGTTCAACCAGATCTCACCCTGAGAAATACCCTGGGGTGTAGGTTTCCTACTTGTCATATCGTTTGGGGAGGCTTTCACCATCGAACTAGTGGCTCTTATACTTTTTTTTTTCTTGGGTGGGCGGTCATACATGACTTCCTTCTTTGCTTTAGTTGGTGCACCCAAGCCAATCCTCTTTGAGGTTATGGCGACGATCTACAACTTGGTCTTGTTTAGCTGCTTAATGCGAGAGTAGTTGATAGCCTTACATAAAAAGTCCTTGAATATCTAGAGGGATTCCGAGTCAAGTTGAAGTAGAATGGGCTGTCACCTCGTTGCATCCCTTGCACCTTGCGTACTCATTGTTGAATTTGATATGTAATTCCTCAATGACGTCTGGGCATTCTTCACTTAGGCGAGGTCGGTCCGAGTATATTGGCTATTGGAGATAATCTTATAGGTGTTAAAGAAAAACTTGCCTCAACCTTCGAGATGGCCGTGATGGGTCATGAAGTAATTTTCTTAAACCAATCCCAAGCTGCTCATCTAAGGATGGTCAGAAATAGCATTGTTATTTCCCCGACCCTTAACTATGTGAATCAAACCATTCAGGTGGTTGTATGAGTCAGTGAGATCCTCGTAGCTTTGCATCCTTAGTGCTCGGGTGTCTCCACTCGTCGGCTTATCTAGAAATTCTTTGGAAAATGGCAAGGGTTAAGAATTTTTCCTCAGAGTAATCGAGGTTTTTGGGCTTAAACGCTTGCTCTATGTCTCTCAATCGATCCTACACACTGTTTATTTCTTCGCCCATGACCTTCCTCAGCATGCTCCTCCAGTTAGACGGTTAAATGGGGTGTATGTCGACCTTTTTGTTGTCTACTCAGAGGCTTGTTTGTTGGTTCCCGAGTTTTCTTGTATGCTCAAAGCCATTTGTTGATGATTTCATAGACGTCCTCGTCCACACTCCCGACATCGACCAGGGGAAGATGAGGAATAAGAGGGGAAGGATTAGCTGACACTCAAAATCTGCGCTCGATCTTCTCATTGGTCTCGTTGATTTGTTCCAGAAGGTCGTTGTACTTCTCCTGAAGTAGGGTATTTTTGGCATGGATAAGGTTTCCTACCTTATTCGTCTGTCCAACATCAACAAGTATGTCATTTATCTTTTCCTCTAGGCTAGCAAGGTTGACTTTATTTTCTCATCTTCTTCTTCAAAGATTAGGTCAAGTCTGTCCAGAAAGACCTTGTCCCTCATTCTTCTGCGGGCATCCTGCTTAGTTGAGCACGATCAGGCAAAGTTCCCAATAATTGGGCTACATCCACTGTTTCTTAAGATTATATTGATTGCAAGACTAAATAAACAGTGCTCGACTAATACATGAATACTCTCTCCCTTTGGTTGTCTAACCCCAAAACATGAGGCCGTCATCGATTTATATAGGCCTTCAATGAACCCCCAACCTTGGGTTCTTCCCACTTGGCATTTAATGAGCCACCTATATAAACAAAAGTTTTGACACCTTTTTGCTTATTCTTCCAACATTCGACAGTGACGTGATAAGTGCCCAGCTAAGATGGCATGCCTTTACAAAATAACGAGAGCCGAGCAGGACGTTAGCCTTGGTTACTCAACTCTGTCTCTCCGAGCATTCTTTTGACTGCTTTTATGCCACATCCAAGCTTCTGTCACTAATTGTAAGTGGCTGTGTGGTCTGATTGACACCTAACTAGACCAATATTCAAAGACTTACACCAAAAATTTGCCAGCCTACCCATGTGCCATTTGGCACTCAGCAAGAGGTTCACTTACTTTGGTCAGGTAGAGTTTTGAGTCGCTCAATCTTAGCGATCGACATTGCCTCATTTTAAGCTCCCTTGGTCCCTGGGCTCTTTGGTCTCTCTTGTGCTTTTCTTGATCCCACTCCTAGCATGTGCCACTAGATGGGCCTAAAAGTGCCCAACATTACCAAATAAAAGGTACTCATTCAATTCTTAGTTGGTGATTACAATCGTAATCAGATAATCAAGTTTATAATTATAGTCGCCATTGCATGCAAGGTGAGATCACAAATCTCGAATTGCATGCTCCCTTATTGTAATTCTATAATTTCTTGTTATCGAGCATGAAGCTCGATCCATTATCGTTAGTTTTATTATAATTCTATAATTTCGTGTGGATATTCTAACCATGAAACTTTAGTCAGATTATCAAAAAGTTGAAGCTAAATAACAATCTCGTTGTCATACAATGAGCTCGATCAACATTGATAAGCTAGAAACATTAATGGAAAAGAAAATCATGAAATTTGTATTGCAAATCATATCTGAACAGCCAGAAATTATACCTTCAATTTTCATAGTTTTTATAAATTTATCTGATGCAATTTCTTAATGAAATGGAAATTTAAGGAAAAGCAAAGACACGTCATAATAAACTAGCGATACTCGATCAAGCTTTGAGCTAGACAACAAGAAATTACATAATTACAAATCTTACCAAACAGAGGGAGTTTTCTAGCTTATCAATATTGATCGAGCTCATTGGACGACAACGAGATTGCTATTTAGCTTCAACTTTTTGATAGTCTGACAAAAGTTTCAATCCTGGGTTAGAATATTTACAAGAAATTATAGAATTACAATATAATTAAAGATACTAGATTGAGCTTCAGAAATTATAGAATTGTAATGGAGGAGCATGCAATTCAAGGATTGTGATCTCACCTTGCATGCAATTCACGATTATAATTGCAAACTCAACTATTTGATTACAATTGTAATTGCCAACTAAGAATGAGTACTTTTCAATTCATCAACCAAATTTACAAAATAAAAACCTATAGCCGCAAAAACACTGATATAATAAGATTAAACAAACTTAGCCAATTGTAAAAGTGATTCAATTATCAAATCCAAACCCATTTACAAAGCCATAATCCCTAATTTCAATTCGAATCACAACAACCAATGCGAAAAATGGAAATTACACAGAGAAACAGAGAAGACCGAAATGAGCAATCTGACCTTTGACAATTTCAAGTAAGAACTGATGTGTAAGAGACGAGAGAGAAAGAGACAAGATTGTAGTGGTGATATTCGAGTCTAAGGGAAAAGGATATTGATAGATTTGCGATGGCAATGAAGGAGAAAATGATGGTGGCAACAGAGAAAGAGAGACAGACAGAGAGAGAGGGAGAGAGAGGGGGGAGACAGACAGAGAGAGAGGGAGAGAGAGAGAGAGAGAGAGAGGGAGGGAGGGAGGGAAGAGGATATTGATAGATTTGCGGTGGCGATGAAGGTGAAAATGATGGTGGCAACAACAAGAGAGAGAGAGAGAGAGAGAGAGAGAAATGATGGCGACAATTATGAAGTGAGAGCGAGATAGTGATGTGTGTGAAATAGCTTTCGGCAAGCGAAGATTTTTTATTTAAAATCCTTTTTTTTTCATATGCCATCTTGGTTATTAATTAATGTGCATTTTCATTTTTATCTTTAAGTTTCGACAGCGTGTTGTTTTTAAACGTTATATTCATTTTTATTTTATCTTTCAGTGTAGACAATATTTACAAACGATGTGATATGTTACTAATAGAAAATAAACATGTTTTTTTTAACAAACGATATTATGTACATTAAGGGGAATGAGGTTGACTAATCCTCACAATAGGGTAGTAGGAAATAAGCATGGTCTTACTAGCATTAATTACCCAATACAAAATGAATATAAAACTAACTTTTTAACAACCATTGCGATGAGGACATATGTCCATCACTCATGTACACATTGAACAAATTAATATGCACCCACAAGCTTTAAATATGGTATTAATGGCCTTACTAGCATTAATTACCCAATACACAATAAATACTAAACTAACTCTTTAACATAACCATTGCAATGAGGACATATATTAAAGCAAGGAGTGCGGTATAGTTTCCTTTTTTGGGGGTTTAAAGGGGGATTGGGTGAGAGAATTATATCATTTAACTTTTATGATATTACTTATATATTGAAAACTATAATTGCATATATTTATTTCATCATAGTTTTTTTTTTTTGAAAAATGTACGACATTCATTGCAAATCAAATTGAACACGTACAATATGAGGATAGTGTGCATAATGGGCCTCAATAAAAACCTTGCTGGGGCTTTCAACCCGATCTAAGGAAAAGAATGTCCCGCACTACAAAAGACAATACATCAAAGCTATAAATTTTCTTTATTCAAAACATCCCTAATCAAGTCAGAATGATCTTCAAACCATAAGAATGCTTGGTTACTACCCACCCCCATACGAGCAAGACAATGTGCAGCAAAGCTGCCTTCCCTAGGCACATGGGTGACCATGCACGGAGGGAACAACTGAAGGAGAAAACGAAGATCTTTAAAGAAAGGACCCAACAATGAACAATCGTCATCCTTCCCCTTCATTGCAGCCAGTACCAAACTAGAATCACCCTCAAATATGATACTGGAACCACTTGGACAACAATCTTGGGCCAAAAGCACAACTTGACGTGCAACAAATAGCTTAGCCTCTAATGCAGAGCCTATCATTCCACTAAAACCAGCTATAGTAGAGCTCCTTCATGATCTCGCAGAACCACCCCATAGCCACATCTCATCCCATTTTGCACCCAGGCCCCATCCAAATTTCATTTGACCTAACCAACACTGGCTTACTCCACCGTTGGACAGGATGATTAGATTTCTTCGAGGACGTCTTGTGCCATTTTTTATACTCCTAAAATCATATCTCCGACCAGACCACCACTTCTTGTGGCGACAACCCTGCTCCACTCCACACCATTTCATTTATGTTTTTCCATAACATCCAAATGATCATCAAACAAAGCTCAAACCCCGATGGGGGATAATGGGTAGCAGTGTTCAACAATTATTGCAGAAACTGTTGCCCCTCTCTAGCTACAGATCACACACCTAGGCCTCCAAACCACGTAGCATTTGCCAAATTACAATCCCGTAACACATTTTCCTTCGACTCATCAGTCGACCCACAAATCACAAAGAGATTCTACACATTCACTTATCTTTTAGGGCCACCGCCCTAATCAAAATGGAGAGGTTTCCACAAGCCAATAGGTGCCTTGGTTCTTGGACATTTAGGAGGGGGTTAGGTGTAGCACTCTTATCCATGTGCTTCATCTTGGCTTTTCCACTTAATGGATCGGTAGGTGGGTCCCTTACTAGTAGTGAATTGCTAGGATCTAACAGCTAATCATAGGGTGGGCCAGCCAACTCGTAGCCAGGCTTAGGCCTAAAGAATTACTGAGTGAGGGTAAGCCCATTGGCATTGAGGAAAGCCCATGGTGGGATTCTCTTTGGGTTACACCAAACTTTATCGAGGGATAGACCATTGATAGTCAACGTAATAAGCCATTCGTAAAGTGGGTCCCAAAACTATTAAAGTGCCACATGTGATCATAATCCTCCAAAGATGATCTCCTTCTGACATCCTCAGATTGACTGTTACTAGGTAACGTGCACTCCCTGATGTCATCTCCAATATATCCATGTCACCATGAGTTGGATTGTCATTACCGCTTGACCACATGGAGACCTCAATGTCCCTCTATTTGGCCATAACGTTCACCTGAAACTGCCATGTCAGTGCCTCCCATTCTTCATCCGGGATCCCATAGAAACCACCATCCACATGCCACTTTCTATGCCAATGCCACTCATTAGCACCGTTACTTGGCTTAGGTCTAGCTTGGAGGATGGGAAACAGCAATGTAGAAACAAAGCCAATAGGGGACACTCTTAATCCCTTACTATATTTACATTCGCCAAATTCAGTGAGTTGAACCTTCTAGGTACATCTTTTAGAATGCCCAAGCTGACCACACTTGTAGCAAAAGTCCTTGAGACCTTAGTAACGAAGCAGGACAGTTAAAGAACCATTATGTGGGTAAGGCATAATGAATATGGTAAAGAAGGGTCTACATGCATCAAAATGAAACCTGCACCATAAGAAACCTTAGAACCCATTCTCCACCGGATCATTGACTTCGAGGATTGCTCTAATTTTTTTCCCAGCCAGCGGGCATTTTTCTTGGTGTAGAGTTAGTGTGGTATGCCATGAGATTGGACCCAGAACATCACCTTGTCCGGCATAATGTGATCCAATGAGTGATATAGGCCAGAACTTAACTGAGAAAAAGTAGCCCTTCACAAGCCATGGGTTCCCTTCTAGCAACCGCCTCGCTACCGGTTCTTCCCCAATGGTGATAGTATAGATGTTTTCGGTCGCTCTAGCCATTCGGATGACTCCAAGTTTATGCTAGAGTAGCCGAATTACCTCATTCACAACATACTGAGAGGGGTTCTTGATCAGCAATTAGTCTACCAACCAAATGAATCTAGTCTTCAAAGCGCTTCTCCAGGTCTAAAAAATCTTAAAAAAAATCCGACAAACATTTGATGTCATCCACTCCACAATCGGGTTGGTGTTTGTCTATAATGATGGCAAACAATAAAGGCCCTGTAGACAATAAAGGCAAAAACCCACTAAAGAAATAGCCACTGGGCCACCAATCAGGATCCCCTACCTCCGTCGGGGGCATAATCTTGCCAAGAGCCATAACCGAAGCTTATCGGACAGCATCACCCTTAAATTATCGTGGTTAAGCAACATGAATTATGCCTAAGAAAACTCGGGAAGATCAAAGATTACGATGCCATGTTGTATATGCCTTGTGTAGGTGGGAGTTGGGCGTTGGACATTATCACCCTTGCCAGTGGAAGTTATATACAAGTGATCGGTCATCGCTTCTTAGTTCATTTTATTCTTAATAACATATAGCTTATCTTCTTAGATATAATTGTTGTTTAAATTATCGATATTGATAAAAACATTGATATGCAAATTTGTGAAAATATCGATGGATATATTGAATATCAATATCGAAAACAGTTGCTTTAGATGGAAATAATGGAAATTTAAAAGGAAACTTTAGAAATTGTCAAACTTTGATTTGGACAAAATGTGAGAGTTTTTCCGATATTTAACAAATGTGTCATCAATAACAATGACTGTTGATTTCTTTATCTTTCTCTGATTTTTTAGAGATTTCCATAAAAATATGGACCGTATAGAAGAATTTCTAATCAATCGATATATCAATCAGCAAAAACTGCCAGAGTGGTTGCTGATTCTTCCATGGTTAGTAAGGTTTCTCATCATGATAGTTGCATGAGGGATCATAGTTGCACCCAATAAGGTACCCTCGCTACTGCACCTCACTTTTGCGCACCCTACATGAACTGTCGTATTCCAAACCACTTACCTATAATGCCCATACATCTTGCCATCAGCACACGAGTTCGACTCATAATTATAGTCAGCCTTATCCTCCACCCACCTATCCATAACCTCCGCTCCCGGAAAGTCAGTTATGCTTATAGAAAGGTTTTCATTGTATGGCCTATAGGAGTGCATGATATTGCAGTCGCCAGTACATTGGTTGGCGTGGTTTTGTGCAAAGCGTGCTATATTGTCCTCCCACGTCAAGGGATCGACGCCTACCGCTGCGCGAGCAGAATTGTGGGAATTAAGGAAGTCTTGGGGTGTGTCTTGGGCATGAGTCAATTGGATTAGGGCTGAGCCTAAAATATAAAGGAAGGATAAGGAAATCTTGCACAGCCCCATGTTAATGGTTTGTTCTTTTCACTGTACTGAATTACTAGGTTGTGGATGGGAAGATGAGATGTTATGGTGTATGAGTATTTATGATAGGGTTGTGGAAGTTTTAAGTTTGTTTGAATGTATTTTTCATAGATTGATTGAATGTGCAATAGGGGATATATAATAAGGTAGAAGGTTACAAGCAACCCTACCTTGGCAAATCCTACTAACCCAGTAAACCCCTAAAGTTGTCACTTCTTAAATTAAGGGAGTGTAGTAAGTAGCTAGCACAAAACTATCAATAAGTCATCTAGATGTCAATCTTCCTCAAATTAAGGGATTAGGCTTACTAGAGAATCCCATGGAAAGAGGAAACATAAAATCTGGCAGTATGGGTATCAGTCATCATCGTCTAATACTTCATCTCAAGCTGGATCGAGGAAATTGATCGAGCCAAGCTTGTCAAGGAGATGATAAAAAGGAACTGAAGGAAGTGCTTTTGTGAACACATCTGCTAGTTGATCATGATTGAAAGAAGTACTTGTGCCCTAATGTAGTGACAGTCCACCTCAATATGTTTAGTCATTTCATGGAACATGGGATTATAAGCGATATGCATGGCTGCTTGATTGTCACACATGAGTGACATTGGAGTAGAACTAGAGAATCCTAAGTCTAAAAGTAACCCTTTGAGCCAAATTAACTCATTTGTTGTTGATGCCATTGCATGATATTCAGCATTCGCACTAGAACGTGCAATAACTTGCTGTTTTTTGCTTTTCCATGTGACGATGTTTCCTCTAACAAACGTACAATAGCTAGTGATAGACTTCCTATCAATTGCATTTCGGCCCAATCTGCATCAGTGTAACCACTAATTTG